TATAAACATTACTAAGTGCCCAATTACCATAAAAATTTCATCAAGAATACATCTGAAAGTTCTTCCAACTCACCTAAGAACTAGCTGCAACCCTACTGAACCCACTGTGTGAAGAAAACACAATCTTTTACCAGCTATTAAAAGGAGGCCATATTAGGTTGTCTATGTCAAGGAAGGAAAAAATCATAAATCCATGATTTATTTTTTGTCATCTAAGAAATGTACATTATTTCAATTGCTCCCCTAGTTGTATATGTGTGTGTAATAACAAATGATGCATAATGGGTGAGTTTTAAACACACACCAACTTCACATTGCTACAATGTCACAAATGCTGTCTATCCTTCAGGTAAGATACTGTTTACCTACTCCTTTTTAGTGTTTCCAATAGATAGTCTATAGAAAGTGTTGTACTATTTGGGGATAAACTGAATTTTTTGAGAAGATCGTACTGTCCCTAGGTTACTTACAATCACTGCTTCAAGGTTGTCCCTTGTAATTAACCACACAGGACCATTAAGTCATGGTTCAGGGAAATTAAAATAATCAGTTATCTTACCTCTAGCTGAGCCTGTCTGAACAAGTTCATTCCCTCTATGGACTGTAAGGTTCCTTCTCTAAGATGAGAGACTGACTACATGGTCTCAATGGCCCACTTAAGCTCAGACTTTCTACGATTTTGCTGGGTCTACAATGAACCATACAACCACCTCCAAACATCTCACATATGTTCTTTAAAACTACCCCACAATTACAAGTGAAGATGATAATAAATTTTATTTCAAAACACTAAGATAATTTAGTTGCCTAACTGTAAAGTGTCAGGATGTATATTTTTATATCTGATGTAAAAGGTTTACCCTAATTCCACTACAGCCAGAATCACTACTGTTATCCCGTCTACTTTTTGAATCTCCTCTTACTGTCAGAGTCATTGGGTAACAAAAGAGTATCAGTGCATGTCAATCTTTGAATTGTCAATCCATTTTGAACTCCATATTCTTCATATTGCAATTGTACTAAAATTTTTCAAACAAGTCCTTCACTTTAAACATTCTTTGACTTTTCTCATTCCTCTCATTTTTTCATCATGAATCCCATACCCTCCTCACTACACACAAAGTCAAGTGAATTTAAATGATACTTGTTTATGAAATCTTTCCTGACACTTCCCTAGAAAGACAGAAAGAACAATGTTGATATTTTATTCTTAATTTTCCAACAATTTCAACACTTGGTGAGTCACATGATAAGATAGCATACTGCAGCCTATCTTTTGTGCACTTTGAACTATTCAGTTGTTTATTATGTAAGACTATCAATTACAATTACTCTAGCAAGGGCATGCTGACACTAACCTTTATATTTCTATGCCTGGGCCATAGTGAGATCTTAATAAATGTTAGGCAAATAATTAAATTTGTGAGATTAAATACATTTTCCCAAAAAAGCATGGATAAAAAAGTGAACAGCACTACTGGTAGGAGTCTTTTTTCTTTGAAAAAAGGATTAAAATGTCCTTTTAAAATTTCATTCCAAGAAATTGGACTGCTTTCAAAGTTGTTATATGAATGGACCTCCCTTGGACCCCATCCTGTATAACATTCCACAAATAAGTTAAATTTCCTTTAGATTCATGAATCAAAGAAGTCTGACAAAGGTGATTGAGGAGAGTTGGAGATAATACTCAAAACATGCCTGATGAGTGAGAAATCATAAACCTACTAGTCTAATCTAAATAGTCAGGTGACTCAGTGGATTTTGCAACTTACTTTGGATCAAAATGGAAACATCAAAATTCAGCATTACCAGTCTATACTTCCAGGACTTTCCAAGCTCCTTTTAATTATAATACAACATAGTCTACTGAAGACGTCTTCTCTTGGCACATCCTTTTAATATTTTAAGTGTGTGATTATTATTCTCACACCATATAATTATACTAACTAGTAAAGAGTAACATGTCTAACTCAGTTTCACCAGAGTGAAAATAATTCAGAAGAGTGAGCTATATCTCCCAGTTAACCCTTGCTTCTCTAAATTTAAACAATAAAAAAGTTGTTATGGCCATTCTAAGTTCTCAATGGAATAGGCACATTAAAATTAGAATTCACTTTATATTCAACTCATTCTACATAAGTTATTATTAATTTTCAATCTTATGGATATAGTTCATTTTATAAAAGATCCTCATTCGAGAGGTACTATTACTCAAGACTGATTTCATTACTTGTCACTGCTAAAATAATTTTTAAAAATCATGACATTCCTCATTCACCATGATTCCAGAATTTAAAAAAAGAGGACATGTAGATTTACACAATTAATACTAATTGTAATTAAAAGTAAAGATAAAATTGTGGCATTTGCAACAATATGGAAGAAGTTAAAGGATATTATGCTTAGTGAAGCTAAGACAAGGATAAGATAAACGCTGCATGACTGAATTTATATATGGATCATTTATATGTACTACACATTAAAAAATGACAAAAATACACATTAAATATAGGTATAAATTAGTGATTAACAGAAGGGCAGATGGGAAGGGCTAGGTCAGTAGAGTAGAAGGGGTTAACTGTATAGTGAGGAATAGAACTGGAATTTTATTAGTGAATTTAATATAGTATATACAGATACTGACTTATAATGAGACATTTCTGCTATCTATTTAATGTTATAAACCAAAACTGTTTTTAAAAAATCAAAATAGTTCTAAATTCAAGGTCTGCTTGTGCCCACATTGTCGTCATATGTCCTAAGACAAGTCAGTTATCTGCTAAGTCTAAGTTCCCTCATGCACAAAATGAGCATACTATCTATATCTCAGATATGAGATATCTGCCTCTTTCTCAAGTGAGACTCTATGTGAAAGTGCTTCAGACCCAGGAAAGTACTGTGCAAATATCAGTGATTATGAGTTTGTGTACATAGCAAGATTGCTCAAATAAAAATGTAGCTGGTGAATAAACCCATTAAAAATGTAGTGGTTTATGGGAGGCATGTGTAGACAGTCTTCAAGAATGAAGACAAAAACCTCTAAGCCAATTCTCACCAGTATATGTTACGGTACAATAATTTTAGAGAAAGAATTTAAAAACCCTGTTAAAATGGAGTTGTGGGAGGCAAGTAGAATAGAAGTACTAGAGCAGTTAAGCTCAGTGGCAAATTCAGTGACTTTGCTGTGCGAGGGAACTAGGCTTGAGGCACATGCTCAAAGGGAACAGAAGCAAAGCCTAAAGCTGAGCAGTGGCCAGAAATCATGAAATCAGGCTGTTTGCTGAAAAATACTTCTCAGTCTCAGGTCAATCTTTCTGATACCTGCCGGAGTTGGTATTGTTTCCTATGTCCCATTTTCATAATGAGCTTTAGTTTTAGCTTAGCTTTCCCCTGCTTGAGAAAGTTCAACTATTGGCCCATTATATATAAATGACTAACAATTTAATCAGGTTTTCAAATCTGTCACAGGCTTTCAGGAGGAAATCTCTCACCCTCGAATACATCCTGGCCTTCAGGAGCCTTGTCTGCTGACATGCTGCTATTTAGCTTGCTGGATATGACCTGTACCTTTCTGCTTGTGGCTCAGGTTATTCTCACCTCTTGTCCACAACAAGCACAATTCTACACATCCTTCTAGCTGAACCAGTAAGTCTCTTTGTGAAACTTCTCAGATCCTGTCACCTTCCAAACAATTATCTTTCCTTACGCTTTTACAAATTAGTCATTGTAAACAAATACTAAGGTCTCTAGGGAGATGACATGTGGGTTTTATTTTTCTCCTTTCAAATATCCACTTCCCTTGTCCTAACAGTTTCCCGAAAAGTCCACCATGCCACCTACATTCCTATGCTCAGTATATTTTTACTGAATGAAGAGGGTATTTACTATGGCAAGCCCAGGGGAAACAAGAGCAGAGAGCTATCAAAGAAAAGCTAAGTTTCCATGTGTTTTGTGGTGTTCCCTCAATAGCTCCATTGTATGTCTAGGAAAGGTAAAAAGAACATGTCTAATGAGAACTTATATGCAGTGAGGTGTTGAGATGACATAACAGAGAGCAGGACTGGTATAAAGTTTGTGACTGAACTACTGTTAATTTAAGAGGTGCTGTTCAACAACTAGAACAAGATATGAGGATGTCATATGCTGTGTCATTTAGTCAAACAAACATCATGGAGAGTCAAACAACATAGTGACTAGAATGCTGACCTAGGGTTTGCATCTAAAACTGCTTGCTGTCCTCTGAGGACACAGAAGCCTTGAAATGGAGTTGCCATTAGTGATTCAAGAACTCAGTGATGCAGGGAATGACCACTCATAGGGAAAGATCAGCTTCTGAAAGGCAGACATTACATTAAGAAGCTCCACTGTAAGAAAGGAATGCAAAGAAAAACTGGTAACAAGGCATCATATGCACTTAAAAATATATTATTTTTTTACCACCAAAATCTTGTGTGTTTGAGGAGAAAAATCATATATTCAAATATTTGATACCATTATATGTTATTCACAATCTTTGGAAACAAAACAATGTAGGCACAAACTTGATGTGGAAATCCCACTTCTGAAGGAATATGAACTGAGAAAATATACAAAAGCATGTCCCTTATAGCATTACTATAACAAAAAATATGGAAGTCACTTCAATATACAACTATGGAATTTCTTTATAAAAGACATAGCTTCAACTTCAATATAGTCAAGCTCAGATTGTTAGCATGTATGAAACCCACACAGTCACAGCCAGAAAAAATATCAAGACATTGGGAAAAAATAACAATTTATTACTTCAAGCATTGTTATATAACGATGGTGTGTTGTTATTTTTAAGAAAACACTGGTAACATCCATGTGATTCTTTCCATTAACACAAGTTGATATTAAATAAAAGAACAACTTTGACAACTGACTCAGAAGATGAATACAGACTGAAAGGGTTCAAGAAGCAGAATGCTTATTCAGATCACAGTAGAGGAAAAGGGAGACTGATGGACAGGGCTTACCTGTGGAGGGCGAGGCTTATAAGGGGAGCTGCATTCAAGATCAGCCAAGATGCTAGTCAATGAGTCAATTTCTGCATCCAGGCTGGAGCGTCTCTCCTCAAGGGTCTTGCCTCCAGGATTTCCCTGCCAGAAGCAACGGACATGTTACAAAAGGATACTTCCAGCTTCCATTGATAACATGATGAGTTCAAAGATCTCAAGTAATAGTATGGCTTTCTGCCAACTTTCCTGCATCTCATTTTTTTTAGCTTTTACAAAATCTCTGTGAGATTGAAAAGAATAGAATTATCTTTTTCTGACAATAAGGAGTCAGAAGGTGATTATTTAATACAGATTTGTTTGAAATTTTTTATGAGTTTAGAAGTAAAAGGATATAATTGTCTCTAGCCCTGCACTCAAAACACATATACAACCTGAGAGATGGTGCAAGTTCACTGTGCTTAGAAAGTACTATGTAGAGTGATGGTATTTTAACTGGAACAGGAAGAGACAAGTAAAGGAGCAGAGTTACATCAAAGGGTGATCAATGGATATTAGAAGTACTGTGTGTGAGAGGTGACATGTCACAAGGGATGTGCCTCAAGAGTGAACTAGAAAAGGAACACAAGGAAGCTTATGAGAGTGCTAACTGACCATGAAAACGGGACTCTGTTTATTTCACATGCACTGTTTCATGCTTAGGAGCACACACTTCTGATTGCACACAGGATCAAAAGGGCAAGTTCCCTGGACACTATTCACTGGACATTCCTTAGAATTAGGGACAGGGTTGGGAAAAGCAATTTGCTTAGAATGTAAGGCGAGGAAAAATGAAGTGAAATTGCCCTAAGATTGGGAGTAAGGTGGGTTAAAATAATCTGTTATGGTGACATACATGTGTGACAGAAGAGTCTCTTAAGACTCCATCAAGAAACTAAAGTACATCCACAGACAGACCCAACAGGAAGGAAATAATGGGCAGTCAGTGTAACTTAGTCAACTCTATGGAACTTGTTGAAGGAAGTTAAACATCAGGACATTATCTGGAAGAGTTTACAAAAAGCATTTTTTTGCCAACCAAACAGAATATCCCAGCAACAAGAACAACAATGAAAAATATGTTATCTGGACAACCTAGAACTAAATATTATAACATTCTAATTTATCCTGTTAGTGAATATGCTGCATCAGGCAATGATAGCATAAGACCACTAGTCCCTTTGCTCCTAGTAGGCTGCTCACCAGATTACCTTTCCTGAATTCTGGAATTTATATAAGTCCTGAGTTCTGGAGCCTATATAAGTTGCATAAAGCAACCATAATAGGTTCTAGAGCATCGATCCATCGCTTGTGACATTCAGCAGCATGACTGCATTCCTCTGGACCTAATCTATCACTGGCACACTGATACCAATTCCTGAAGATGTGCCCCAGTTCCTTGGAGCCAAACCACAAGATTGCCACTGGCCTCAGAGGGAGTGGTATACTTATTTGTGTAATCACTTCAAATCACATTATCTAAAGCAGCCTTCTCATTGTTTTCTCTTTCATGGTGGAGTTGTGTGATGGCTAACGCCACCCTATCTCCTCATTGTTTTCTGATTTTTCTCAATATATATTACCATCTAATAGTACTTTCATGAGCTTTAGTTGTCTATTAACAGTCTCACCCAGGAGAATGTACATTTCATGAAGGTGAGAAGCTTGTATGATTGACATATTCTCCAAAGTCATACGTAGGGGACTAATCCATGGAAGTCTTCAATAAATATCTTTGAGTCAATAAGTGAATGAATAATGACAACTTCTGCCATAGATTGAGTCAGTAACCTTTTCTATATCGCTATGTTTAGATAAAAGCAGCTAGAAGTACACAGAAGGAGTAGTGGGTACTGTGCTGTAGTGAGTATAAAGTCTAGTATACCAAGGCAGCCAAAGATGTTTTCTGTGGGTTTGATTTTATACTGTGTGGTTCAGATGTGAAGACAGTCTTATAAAAATTAAGAGATTTTCTACCGGATGGTTTCACTCATAGCAGGAGTATAAAGGACCAGGGGAGAAAATAATAATGAATAACTATATACTAGAGACATTTTACGGGGGTAAAGTGGGCAATGGGATAAAAAAAGGAGGGGAGGGGGAGTGGAGTGCACTGGTCTATGGTGATGGCACACAGCTGATTTGGTGATGGGAAGCCCATGGGGATTACAGCTGCGATGGAAAAAGGTACAAAATGATATAAAAATAAACTACTATATTACTTTTAAAAATTAAGAGATTTTCCTTTGTTTGCCACAGCCAACAACATAAAGACAGTGAAAATGACAGGTTAGCTAGGTTTTCTCACTCTAAATTTCCACTTGGTCATACCCTATACAGACAGTAGTCTTTGCCTTAGAACAGGCTTTCAAAGTGTTAATCCCTCTAGAAGAGGTGACCTCATCTTTATTTTACAAAGTACTAGTAACTATGTACTACTTTGGAAGATTATCATTAAGAATTGTTTTTATATTTAAAATTCATGTGAACAGTCCAGGCAGAAGGTCCTGGTACAAGAAAAGGTAGGACCAATTGTTATGGAAGTCACGAGAAGTGGGCAAACCCAGTTTTCTTATTAAAATTATGAAACACTGTAATAAGCATGATTTTTTTAAAGATTTATTTATTTATTCATACAGAACTGGGGTACAGGCCAGAGATGTAGAGGGTGAGAGGATTCACCTGAGACAGAGTGGGAAGCAGAACAGGCAGATCGACGAAGTACACTGCTGAGGGGAGCAGCGGGTGGGTCTCCTCCGGGGCAGGCAGGGATCGAACTCATGCAGAGGTGGCTTAAGCTTCTTGGTGCCGTGCTTTAACCCGCTGCGCCACCAGGGAGGGCCCAGCATGATTTTTTTTTAAAGATTTAGTTATTTATGCATATATGAACTAGGGTACAGGCCAGAGGTGTGGGGGGGGTGAGAGGATTCACCAGAGACAGAGTGGGAAGCAGAGCAGGCAGATGCTGAAATACACCACTGATGGAAGTGATGGCGAGGCAGGAGAGGTCTGCTATGCCATGCGAGTCAGCTCCCTGGCCAAGAATAGAACTCATGCTGTAGTGGCTGCAGATAGCCTCATAATGCTGCACTTCAATCTGTCATGCCACCAGGAAGAGCCAATAAGCATGAATTTGATCAGCTTGTTTCTTAAACTCATGTACAAATAATATATTGGAAAAAAAATAAATATGGGTTGGAATCTGGTGAAATTCTTCCCTTGATAGTTTCCTCACCTATAAAACAAGGAGAACATTAACTGCTCAACCTAAGTCACAGGGATGTTGAAAGACTGTGATACCAAAATGGATGGGAAAATACTCTGTGCATTGTAAAATACTATAATTATAATGATTTTCATAAATAATGTTAATTATAGTAAGCAGTAACTACAAATTAATATGAATAATATAGCTATTGTTAATTATTCTTCTTAAGGGGGCCATCATTCGTAGGGGTTCCCTTGGAGTAGCTGTAAGGCGAAATGATTTAATCAGGACCTCAGCATCTCTACTTTAATGTGGCAGAAAACACATCAAGTGGTCATGCCCTAAGTATTACAATATCTAACCACAGAGACACAGAAGTAACAGGATTACCTTGAGCTAGACAAGAAAACAAGTAATTAAGAATGTGTAACCAGTCTGTGCATGCAAGTCTTCAATTGTCAGTCTTGCTCCTTATTCTCCCCTCCTCCTGAGCTGGGGTTATTCCTCACTGTTATTTTATCACATTAATTTAATACAATTTAAGTTAAAAATGTTCCTGCCTAATTCTGTGGGATTTTGCTTCAAGTCTCTCCTTGCAGCCTTTCCTGGCCTTCTGATAAGAGCTTTGCTCCTCCATTGCAATCCCCATTATGGATTCATTACACTCCTTGTCATGCTCAATTTTTTATTTTTATGTCTCAGTTCAAAAACCCTACCACCACCAACCTTTATCTTGTTGCTCACATCTACTCTCTCAGCACCCTTTTAATTAGTGAACTTTCTACTCTCAACACATTCTACTAAATAGAATGGTCAGCATTCTATAACCAGGTAACAGGGTCCTTCACACTTACCAACAAGTCTCCTTGATAACTCCCTATCATCACTATGGCTTTGCCAGTCACCTGATGTTTAAATGACCAGCCGAAGGCCAAATAGCAGTAAGAGTCTCCTGATGCTTTCCTAATGTTTTTTATAGATACCACACAAGCCCTTAAAAAAATGGCTGTTATAGTATGTTATAATAACATGTCTCACATGCTTCAGTCATAATGAGAGGTTTCCTTGTGTTAGTCCAATTTCTGCCAAAATCTAAAACCAAAGACCAAGTCTTCTATATGCATGATTTTCCTAAGAATCAGGAAATAGTATCAATATCTTGGAAAGAGTTAAGCAAGGGGAGCCAACTCAAAGGCACTGTTTTGAGCTAGTCAGTGTGTGGGGAGCTAGAGTTCTACTCTCCTCTTACCTCTGAGGAGATCTGTGAAATATGCTTCACATCTTCATACCTCAAAGATGAAAGAACAAAATATATAAACTCAGACTCCTGTCGGCTTCTTAAGTTCAGTTCATACCTGCTCTAAGAGTGGTAGCAGAGAAGCCCCAAGACAGAAAGAGAAAGAAATATATGGCAGCTCATAGCAGCAGAGATGGCTGCTGTAGCCAGGTTAGTATATGAAGATGGGACAAAAGGATAAGACGTGGGAGGCAGAATGGTGCGTGCCCATTTTCTAACAGCAGCAAAACCCTCATGAACAGGCCATTTATATAATTTTCATAAGATACTTGCTTTAATTTGTTTAATAAACAGATTCATGCTAAAAGCTCACCAAATCACAAATGAGCCTTGAAAAATCCTAACTCTGCGTCACCAGGAGAATTTGCAGGATGATAACTTCACATCAATACACAAAAGTAGACTTAAAATCAGAGCCCCAACCCAAAACTTTACCATGTGAGTCATTTCCAGGAATCTCCTTAAAGAGGGGTCATGTTTTAGACCATGCATGTCTAATGGACTCAGTCACAGGAGTAGGCAAGGAGTCCAGTAGTGAGTTTTGAAAGAATATCCACTTTATTTATTGACTCTTTGTATCCAAACATTTTTATAACCAAC